AAAATAAGAAATTATAAAGCATTGGATGTAATTGGTATTTTGGAAGAAATTGATGATTAAATTGTAAAGTTTCAAAGTTGGCAGACCATTTTAAGAAATACAGGAAGTTTAACTAAACTCATAGTTTACCCAATTTTTTTATGAGATGAATTATAACCCCTCCCCGTGTGTTTTCTGCAGATTTTCCAGTTTTTCTCTTCTCCATCAACTCACCTTTGAACTCCGATCTACTCGCCGTCCGACCTCTGATCGACGAACCGAAATCACTATCGTGTTCATTGACGACCGATGAACAAAAACCCTCAAACCTTTCATCGTGAATCCTCGTCGTTCGTCATTAATTTCAGTCGGAAGTATCATCGATTTAACTCGTTTTCTGTTGGTTTTTCGTTGATTCACGTCGATCCGACCATCCATTTTCGACACTCCGCACCATCGTGTTCCTTGCATCGTTCCGAGTCGACCGGTGTCCTCCGTTTCTCCGTCGTCGCCGGCGCGTGAAGGGGTGAGAAAGTCAAAGTTTTCGATGTTTCGGAATCAAGCTTTCCACCATTCAAAATTGTGAACCGAGCTTGATAAGTGTCTTAAAATACCTTAAAATAATTTTTAGAAATTTTTCGGGAATTTTCCTACACCGTATTACTATTCACGCGCCGTCAATGCGCGTAGGAAAGTCCTATTTTGTAATTAATTTCTGTTAGGGTGATATTTGTGTAAAATTCGGGTGCTAGCTTTGTAAATATTTTTTGAAGGGTGCCTAATTTGTAATTAATTTCTATTAGGGTGATATTTGTGTAAAATCGTTGACTGTAGACCGATGACCGACCGTTGACCGTTGTTTTGACCGAAAATGTCAAAATTTTTTGAAAAGCTATATTTTTTGTTTTACGACGTCATAAGTTCGATTCTGCAATCCGTTTTGCCAAATTCGGACATGAATGCCTCGAAATTGTCAGTCAAACCCTTTGACTTTGACCAAAAAGTCAAAATTTTTGAAAAGTCATATTTTATGTTTATCGATGTCCTGAATCCGAATCCGAAGTACGTTTCGCCAAATTCGAACCCAGTAAGCTGTTTTTCACTGATTTATCACCCGATTCGATCCGTTTTCGGAATTAAGCTTCGTTTTTTATGTAATTTATGTTGATATGCATCTGAGGCATTATTGGAAGATGATTTTAATATCAAGGGCATTTGAATGGAATTTAATGGTCGATCAGTATGGCACGAAAATCGAGGTAATACATTACTACCTCTTTATACTTTATAGAATATGTTGGTATTTGTAAATGCATGAATAGAAATGTTTGATCTGTGTAATTAATGAAGTTCTACACTCGATATGAATGCGGTAGAAAGTAGGTAACTGAATATGGCTCAAATGACTATTATAAGAAATTAGAGGACAATTGGAATTAAAATTACAAGCTCTGGAATTAAGTGATAAAGGAATCAACCATGGATATGTAGATTATAATTTATCTCATTAAAGGTACTTAAATGATAAATTATGAGAATATTTCGATTAGGTAAAATTACGAAAACACCCATATGTTGTAAAATGACAAGAATTGTCCCTGGAAGTTGATTAACAACTCTAAGAATGCATATTGATCTGATAAATTTTTAGATGTGCATAAGAAATGCTAGTTTTGCTTGGAAAATTTGAATAATAAGTTTTTAACCCCAAGAAGGTTTGTGAAAGATACTAAAAGTCTATTAAGGGAATCATATCAAGATCAGAGAATATTCAAGAAAGCAATTAATCATATGATCTCTAAATTATATTATTTTTTGTTAAGAGTTAATACCGAAATTATCTAGTTAAGAAATTATGAAAATGCCCTTGAGAGATAAAATAGTCTGAGTTGACCTTGAATGAGAAAGTACTTTGAGGATTCGTACTTAACTCGATTAAGTACGAATTTGATTGTTAAGATCCCGACTTAATGCAGAAAAATTCCTGATATTTTGTTTGTAAAATCTAAGAAGGCACTTAACCCGAAAATATTCGAGTTATGAGTAAATACCTAAAGAACAATTTATCGGGGGTGTTCTTTTGTCAGAATTGTTCGAAAGGACTGAAATAAATTATAAGTTTGAATTAAATAATAAGATAAGATGGAAGGAAATGATTGTAATACACTGGATCTGTAAAATGACCAGAATATCCCTGGAATGGAAATGAATCAAGAATATCACCAAACTCAGGAATGATTTGGTATCCTCGAGCTCTGAAATGAATGGAATAGAACTTTAACATCAAAATGGCCAAAATACCCTTATGGCTTTTACTAAGTAAATGTCTTGGATTAATTAAGGAATCCAAATAAGCATAGGTTTTGGACTACCTTTAAAAGTTATGGAGCACAACTTAAGTGAGCCGATCAACCTTAATGATAAGTTAGTACCTGAACGACATATATATTACTTGAATGCGTGTTTGTCTTCTCAAGTTTAGCTCGATGATAATTTTTGAAGTATATAACTAAATTCTATATCGCATTTAGTACTAAGAATTGTATATTTGTTCGACAAATCAACCACGAAGACCGAATTGAATGAAAGTACAATATGTATATGAAATCAGGAATGTCTGAATTACTTGGAAAATCTGAAGTAACTGGAATGAACTTGACTGATAAATGAACTAAGTAACCTCAAGGATTGAGGATTAAGTAAATGATTGATATAAGCATGGAAATTCGGATGAACTTACTTGATGTATCATCCCTATGGTTAATGAACCACAAATTAAGTACATTGGCTTTTCTTGGTATAGTTAAAACTTGGAAATGAAATAAAGATTATTAAAATATTTGTTCGTCTCTTTAAGATCTATTCAGTGAGGACTCAGAAATTGATCTATGGACAAGAATATTTGGTATTAAAGAGTAAATACCCTTGAAGGTAAATGAATTGACCAATTAGCAAGCATCAGTTCTGTGAGCTGCTCATCTCGAGTTGTTCGATAATCTGATCAATCGACATAGATTGTAAAGGTCTTGAATCTTCGTTTTTCCTTATTATCCCAAATTACTCTGGTCATCAGAAAACACAAGTAACTCAGATGTAAAAGATTCTGAATACCCTTCTGATTACGTACAACTTACGAAAAATGTCCGAATAAGATATGATCATAATAATTCATATTCTGAATAACTGATGATTCTGTCAGTTAATAAACTCTTCCAATAGTGATTATAAATTCCAACATTCTATCGACATAGTGAAGATCTGTTTCTCTGCTTGATAAGATTATCCACTACCTCTGAATAATATCCGTAAACTCTTGTGTGTTCCCTAATCATGTGAATATTTTATCTGATTTTCGATTTGAAATATGTTCTGATTTCTGATCTGAATTCTGTTCTCATTTCTGATTTGGATTCTGTTCTGATATCTGATATCTGATATATGATATCTGATATATGATATGAATTCTGTTTTGATTTCTGATATCTCCGTTTATTGACGGAAAAATGTTTTATTTGGGGGTATTGTTGGAGGAAGAATATATGAAGGCACCTTGGCTTTGTGCTCAGGGCCTAACTGTTGTGCAGGGTTGTATGGTTCTGGGGAACCTACACATTATAATGTGTTTGGTTGGGGGATTTACTATGGTTTTTGATAAGTTTTATTTGGGGTTATTGTTGGAGGAAGAATATGTGAAGGCTCTTCGACTGTGTACTCAGGGCCTTATTGTTGTGTTGGGGTTGTATGGTTCTAGGGAACCTACACATTATGACGTATGCGGAGATTTCCCATGTTTTTATAGAATTATTGCATTGCGAAAGGTTAAAAAATTCTGGCAATGTTGAATAGGTAAAGTTAACGTATAATGGTGAAAATTTTAAAAAATATTCAATCCAAAATACATAATTAATTCATGCAATCCTTCGATTCCTCCTTGATTATTCCTTTGAGATATATATGATTAGATATGTTTTCAAACATATTATTCGAGATTCGAATATTAAACAACTCATTTTAATACGGGCCTTGTTCATTTATTATTGATATTTATAAGAAATAATTATTGAAAAGAAATTAAAAATAAAAACTTTTCACATACTTAGAGTAGTTGGAAGTTGATGATTTTCTGGTTATTTCTTGATTCAATTACTGAACTAAACAATAAGACTATGGAAATATGTTTGAGACAAGAGCATATGTTTTATATTTCAATCCCTTCTTTCACTTCAAGATGTAATGGGTCGTCGGTGCCTTCTTTTTCGGTTTCCATCAAAATCAATTATTTTCGGAACATTTTGGTCCCCAACGATTTCTTTTAGGATAAAAGGCCCATAAAGTTTAACCTAGTGGTTACTTTGGCCTTTATTCTTTTTCTTTTCTGGAGAATTTATTTTGAGCGTTAATCGGTTGTTAAGTAAGGGTTTTCATACATAGAGGGTCTTTTTGCTCCAAAATGTGATAACTTTTTAACAATTCGAATTCATCCCAAACTATACATATACTAATCACATCCCTTGTTAATAAAACCGTTATGCTAAGTTTTATTATTATATGTTTGAAAAAAAAAATAGGTTAAAACATGATTGAAACTAATTGCATATTTGGATAAACTTGAGGATGAAATTGGAATATTCAAAAGTTTGGGGATTAATTTAGAAAGAGGGTCATAGTTTAGGGATGTAATTAAAATATTTAAAAGTTTAAGGACCAATTTAAAATGAGGGTTATAGTTTGGGGATATAATGCAATTAACTCTTTTTTGATATTATATCTAAATTATTCAAATATTCAAAAGTTTGGGGATTAATTTAGAAAGAGGGTCATAGTTTAGGGATGTAATTAAAATATTTAAAAGTTTAAGGACCAATTTAAAATGAGGGTTATAGTTTGGGGATATAATGCAATTAACTCTTTTTTGATATTATATCTAAATTATTCAACAAAAATTAGCTCAGAATAATGAACGTCTCTCTGATCACAAATTAGTGGATCGAACACTTAAAAATTAATTGAAGAAAGACATTCATCTAAGTGATTCTGAGAATATATAATGTATCTCAAGTCTCAACCATGCAATCGAACGAACATATCCGGACCATGCACTACAAACTTTTCTGTTTTCCTTAAACTCACATAAGTTGTTCTTCAGACATTTTTACCATACACATATATAGCAAGAGGCTGTTATTTTCTGCTCCCGAACTGGCCTCCAGTGTAAGTCTGTCCAAACGACCAACTTGATGGAGCAACGTTGAAAGAAACAACACTGTGTCCATTACTTGTGGTGACGATAAACGAGAGGCTCTGCCCATTAAGATAAGAATTGCTTTGCCAGTTCTGTCCCCAATTCCTCGACATTTGTTGCCATCTGGTCTTTGAACCTTTAATGGCCACCGAGTGAACGTCCCCAGCTCCCCCAACATTGGTGATCAGCACCAAATTGAAGTAGGAATGTCCATTGATTGTGAACCTTATGCCCCCAGTTCTCCTGCACTTCACCCTGGCAAAGCAAAAGTATTCAATAGCAATGGTGATTGGTGTCGGTGGAAACGGGAAAGATCGAGTTTTTTTTATACATATTTTTGTTTTGTTTACCTTCTGTAATTTACAGGGACGATGCCGGCTCTGTATTGCGCAATGTGTTCGAAAATCGGCTGAGAGAGATCGAAGTGGTGTTTAGGAGGGTCACACCAGCCTCCCGGAGGGCAGAAGTTGGTGGCGGTGACCACAATGGAACCAGGCAGGCACCATTGTGGGTCATTCACACACTTGAGCTCGTAGCATGCACCACAGCTCAACCCATTGTCGAACAAGGCGGTGCTCAATGCTGCAGTGTTAATACCATAACCTTGGCTAATTAGGTTCCCATAGCCACATGCTCCACCTATACCAGATACCAAGTATCAATAAGAACAAATATGAACACACACACATATATAGGTGATGTTTTTGGATTGTGGGAAGTACCCATTGTGCCAGAAGCATCACCACCTCCATAGAAAGTGGCATGAGCGTTGATCCATGGCCCAAGAGTTCCATGAACAAAGTTGAGGAAGGAGAATAATACAGCTACAAGAAAGCACCCCAAGTGCTGCATTGTTCTGCATATGAAAAAACATACTCCATGAACAAATATATATATTCAGCTGAAAGTTTATCACTAATGAAGAACTGGACGAGGAAGAGGAAGATTGGGAGAAAATAACTTAACCTGGAGAAAAGTTTTGGGGGAATGAAGGGGGTGTTTAACTAATAAATAGAGTGGAGCAGTAATGGCTGTAATGTTTGTTGCGATGTAAAGTTTTCTTTTCAGCACAACTTATTACTCCATTTAACCTGCATGTTGTTGACATAAATGTGTAAAAAAAGCAAACGATTTAAAATAACTCTCTTTAGTAGTCAACTTCACAAGTGACTGACACAAGACAACATGGGACCAAGCCACAGCAGCGGTGGTTTGCAAGGCTCAAACCGCGTTGTTTTGCATGACAAGCCATGAAAGTAAATTTGGCTAACGAATCCACTGAGTGGCTCAATCCATATTGTTCTCCCTTAAAAATTTCAATTTTAAGTAGTTGGGTATACATATTGTTAATAAATATATTTTTAATATCTTGTAATCATCCTAAATTAATATTATTGAATAAATGAGGAGAGAGACTAGAACAGGGTTGGCTTCATCTGAGAGTGAAAAAAACTTGGTTACTGTCAAGATTTCTTTGGGGACGATAATGGTGAAATGTGCATGACTTTTAGTTGACCTGGGGAAGAAGAAATTCAAGTCTGGCTACAAGGACGCTTCTTTTCCAAACCATTTTACCATATATAAATTTCCAAGTTAATCTATTTTTTGTCATTTTGCATGTTATCACAGCCTTTCAAAGGATCTTTTTAGTGTTCTGCGTCGGTGTATATTACATTTATTCAAAACATGTTTAGTAGTCGTATTGAACTCATAGAAAAAGGTTGAATATTTAGTGTACATCACATGCACTAAATTATTTTGAAAAGTATTATTTCAACATTTCATTAATGAATCAGTTGATTTTTCTTCTAAAATATTAATTGACATAATTTTAATGAAAATGATATAGCCACTTGATTGACACATTGTATGATGGTTACTAAGTCATAGTCATTGAAAGGAACTTTGTGATGGATCTCCTGCATAACGTTTTTTATCTTGTTAATCAGTCTAAGTAATAGTCACTTCATTAGGTCATAACTTGAAAGTAAAAGGTAGATTTCAAACGTTCAAAATAAAATTAATTAGTTTTTATTGAGTAATGATGTTTATTTTGTAATTTATATTTGGCATCTGTTATTTATGTTATTAATATTTTCTTTAAAGTTTTGAGTTTAATTCTATTACCAAAAGTATAATATACTTTTCTACTACATTCAACCCTTTTCAAAATTATAATATCACTTTTCACGAAATAATTAACATAAACATGAAGTGTTTGTGTCAAAATACATATGTTAGCAGGCACATAACATGCAACTGTAAACGAAGAATTACATATAGTGTTTATGCCTGCACGGAGGGCCAATACTTGTGTAACTAAATATACATGATGAATATGAAAAGGAAAGAGTGGGGCAGCGTTAAAATGTCTAGGAACTTGAAAAGAAAAGAAGAAACAGTAAGAATGGTAAAAAATAGGGAAACTAATAAGAAGAAACCATTAATGTAAAAAACGAATTCACATCTGAACTCTTCTTGCAATTCTAAAAATAATTTTGTTGATGAGAAAAATTAGCTAGGACTATGGTTGATGGCTCACTCTTTCTGATTTGATTAGAAAATTACGGTCTGCGACTATTTAATGGAGAGGAGGAGATAGGTAGACTAGCTAAAGAAGATGATGAACAATCATCATAAGAGAGAAATGCATACGGGGAGCCCGAGAGAGAAGCCAAGTTCTCCCCCCTTTAGCCATGCATTTTGATTTTTATATTGACCTTCGGTGTTGGTGCCAGGCCTAAAGTCATAATTGCTACTCATATATTGACAAAGCAAACAATTATAGTTGTTTGACAATAGATTTGACTCTGATAGATCAAACAAGTCTGTTAGAGATCATATCAAAAGGTTGTAGTTGTCTGAAATATATGAAATTCCTAAGACTTCTAGAAATTCCGGAGGGTATAGAACTCCGAAGGCTGTAGAGATTCGAAGGATGTGGAATTCTGAAGGTTTCGAGAAACTTTAACACTTGACGGAGGTAGGAATGACAGATAGAATATTACTTCTGAAAGAGATCCAAATAAGGCACAATGAACTTGAAAGCATTGTCTAAGCATGATCAAGAGAATTTTAGATTTGTTAACATTAGAAAAGTCTTCACATACAAATTAGTTGCAAATGATGAATGAACCATCACTCAAAAATAAGACAGAAGCCACGACTTAAAAGCTAGCCTTAATTTACAAAAAAAAAGGATTGAATACAGAGTATTTGCATATGCTGTATGTGTCTTGAAATGCCAACATAAGAATTTAATCATTCAGGAAGAAAGAAAGGGGGATCAGTCATGCATTAATTAACGTTTGTGAGATGGGGGGGGGACAATATCAGTATGAAAATCTATCATATCACATTGTGGGTTCAATAGGTCTAGGGTTTATGTTCTGGTTTACATAGTTTGAACCATCTTTCTTCAGCTCAGTAATAGCAAAAATAAAACTCCACTTCCTAGTTGAACTTTTGAAGACAGAGATTGTGGCAAGCGATTAACAGAACTAAAGGGATTCTTTTATTAAAGATACGGACCTAGAAATTTAAAAATGGGATTCAAAATGTTAAAAACACTCATTTACAAGCTAAGGTACATATAAACATGATTAAGTGACATGTTTAATATACATCATATTTATGGTTAAAATTTATGTACGTTCTTTATATCGTTTTTTTATATACACGATTGAAAAAAATAAGGTAAAATACACAAATAATCACTAAACTATATTGAAGTGATTTTTTTATCATCGAAATCTCAAAAATTATAAAATAGTGATTAAACTTCTCAAAAGATTATAAAATGATCATTAAACTTTTCAAAAATATTATAAAATAGTCATTAAATATTATCAAACCACTAAAAATGGTCATTATCAACATATTATAAAATAGTTCTTAAACTTATCAAAATTCATTATCATTTTATAATGTGCCATAATCATTTTGTAGCAATTTAATAAATATAAAAATTATTTCGTAATTTATAGAACCTCCATGAAAAAAAGAATATTTCCGTGGTGTGGTAATGGATGAGAAATAGTGGTGTGGCAATGGAGAACGACAGTGCCTCGTAAGCAATTAACTTTGATGTATGGCAGCACAAGGACATGAAATGGACAAGGATGGAAGCATTGGTACACACAAACATGTGCTCATTCATTTCTTTTCCCATAGGCATGTGGGAAGCAAATGATGACTCCCCACAACTATGTCACCATCAACAAAAAATTTTAGGCTACAATATTAACAATAATTGCTCATCTCTTTGTTTAATTCAACATTTTTATATTTGAGAAAGTTTTCAAATCATCAAGGATAATTGAATTCGGTGACAATGAAGTTAGGATTATATTATGTTTATAACTTATGTTTTATATTATCATCGTCATATAAAAAATTTATGCTTCAAATTATTTCCCAAAAAAGATGTGACATGAATCGCCCAATAAAACTTATAATCAGCATAAAAACGGCAGAAATAACAAAAAAAACCACCTGCCACGATGGTAGCTTTCGAGACAACTCAACTCATGAGAAAGTTGTGGTATACCTCTGCGCGACAGATAAGGAGATTCATGTTGCTTTTGTAGATGTTACGACGCATGTTAAAGAGCAGAAGAAGAAAGTTGTTGCCAAAGAACATGAGCTGAAGGCATCCAATGCCAAAGAAGTTGTGGTATACCTCCTCCCCTTATTGTTTGGGTCATTGGCATTGAGAGATTCACAGTTCGTGAAGAGTTTTTTTTTTGTTACAACTATAGTTGAGCCATCTGGGATGGCCTGTAATTGTGCTTGCAAACTGTGGATTTGCGGGGTATTTTGCTCCAAGGGATATGGGTTTTGTTGGTATTTTGATTGGTAAAAATGTTGATTGGTCATAGTTATCATAAGAGGCTTAGTAAGATCCATTTTATTGCATTGTACATGTTTTGTTATTGTTAGTCGGAAAAATCAGATGTATCGAATGAATTTTGAGATGAATATAGAAAGTTGGGTTGGGTCTTAAGGATTCAATGTGATCGATTCTTTTGGGTTAGAAGTGATTCACGTTCATTACCCCTAATTATTAATGGTCTGACTAGGAATGCGGTGGTCTTAGGTGATTTTATGGAGAAAAGAAAAAAATGATTGGAGAAGATGATGAACAATGGGTGCGAGGTTGAAGATCCTCTCTTTCAGCCTTGCTTGTATGAGTATATAGGTCCCTAACACCAGATAATAGGGTAGTTGGTAGGAGTGTAAAAAAATCCAATCACATTGATTTGATCCATTGATCCAATTCAAAAATTTAGATGTTCGATCCTTTTTTTATTTTCGGATAATTCAACCGTATATCAGGGAAATAGATAATCAGATCATATATAGATAGAGTAAATTTTAATTTCAGATTATCCAAAAAAGGGATAAAAATTGGGTATTTGGAGTTTAAACACCATTGACCCAATAAATAAGTCACTAAACCATTAAGACTCTAACTTAATAAAAATTAAGATGTTTAATTATTTAAATTATGTAAATAATTAAATATATATAGAATATAATAGATGTATAAAATATATTGCATAAAGTCACAAAATATAAAATTTATATATGAGTTTTTTTTATCAAATTAAATTTTATTTTCAGATCTAAATATCTAGATATTGATCCAAAAATTCAGATATCGGATTTTTCAGATTGGATACGGATCGCAATTTTAGTGATACGAATTTTAAGATATCCAAAATTTTGGATCGGATAATATATGATATTCGAATCCAAATATAAACTTTTTTTGTATAGGATATTGCTTTGTTGCGTCCCTCGACTATTAAACGTAGCAAAATGGTCATACAATTATTCATTATGTTCCGAACACATCCTTACTCGTT